TGAAACGCAACTACTACCCTGCATATCGCCTGATCGAATCGTCTGTTTTTGGGGCTAAAGTCCCAGTTAAAATCGTAGATAACTTATCACTGTGCCCTGCATCCGTTTCTCCGCCGATTAAGGCTCCGTTTCAGACACGATTTTTTGCTTCGACGCAGCTTGTCGCCAGTAAAGTCCGCCCCGCCAGGCATTGGCCCACTAACAGCGCACTGCGCATTGTGCAAGCAGTAGATCACGAGGCGCCGGCAGCATCCGCGCCGAAAGCCGCAAATGACAGGCTCCCTGCTCCCAAACGGTGGCGTTTATCGCACAACGCGGCCATCACGGCAGCTGTAACCGGCCTGCCGGCTCTGGGCAGCCGGCCGCCCAGGCGCCAGCCCGGCAGCTGCGGAGCCGCGGGGCGCGCTGCCAGAGCAGCGAGTGGCTGCGCAGCACCGGCCGGCCGCTCAGCTGCGTCTCACGGCAGCAGCAGCGCTGCATGGTAGCATTCCAGGCAGCCGGACGGCAGCGGGCGGCGGGCGCGGCCGCCGCCAGACGGCAGGCGCGGCGGAGGCCGGCGCGCGCCGCCGCTCCGCACCGCCCGCGCTTGCATGCTTGCATGTAATGCCGCCGCGGACGGGTAAGGAGCCGGTGAAATCACTGATGACAGCCGGAGGCGGCGGCGGGCCCGGGCGCCGCCTCGCCGGCCGGCCGCCGGCGGCGGCGGGTGCGACGCGTCGCTCTCTGCATTTCCTGTCGGCTGGAATGCGGATCGCCCGCCGGGCGTCATATGATTCAGTTCAGCTTGGACGCCGGGGGAGGAGAGGCGCGCCGACGGGCCCGGTACGGCACCGCTGCCGCCCGGCGACGCCCGGCTGGGGGCGGCCCGGCCGCTGACCACGGCCGCCCGCGGCCGCTGCGTGGGGTACCGCCGGCCGCGGCGCGCTCGGCGAGAGCGGCGGTGGCGGGCGGCCGCGGGATAGCGGTCCCAAGGAGTCAAACCGGTCGCACATCTAAGTCATTTCGATGTGTCAAACGATGTAGATTATTCCTTCACTACGTAAAGAGCGTGGGTAGCTCTTTATGCACACACTCATCAGCGTCTTACTCCACCATCGGAAGCTAGCAAATTGCTAGGGGGTAAAACAAAAATGTTCACTGGCCACAACAATGTCATGAGCTCCAAAAAGCCAAGCTTGTCACACGCAACTGAAATACGCATTTGAATGGATTTGGTGGGGCCGGCTACTCCACTGCCCCAATCTGACCCGGTGTGCGACCCTTTAACGCATTTCGAAAGCGCGTCAGGGATTGGCTCCACGGGTGCGGCTGCGGCGGCTGCGGCGGCAGCGGCGGCGGCGGCGGCGGCGGCGGCGGGTGCGACTCTCAGGCGACGTAAATTATTGTCTACCAAATAAGCAGCGGTTTAGACATGCATACTTATCAGTGTCTTACTCCACCAGCTGAACCTTATAAGTTGGCAGGGGATAGTAGGACACAGACATGCTCATTGGTCACATCATCATGAACTCTAAATACTTAAGTTCGTCTCACGCAACTGAAATTCGCATTTAAAGGGACCTGACAGGGCGGCCAGTCCACTCCACCAATTTGGCTCAGTGTGCGACCGCTGCACGCAAGCTCGAAAGCGTTTCAGAGATTTACCCCAGCAACACTTTTCCGTATATTTGATTCACTGAACGAGGGCAACATTGTGATTTCAGAAAGCATCCGCTGAGCCTTAACCCAACGAGTGAAGGGCAGCGAGCCCGTCACCACTGGTGCACTATACTGGTCACCACTGGTAAACTATACTGGTCACCACTGGTGCACTATCGTCCAAAGTGCCGTCCGCAGCGTAGGCACTTCACAGCCGTCTGCAAGCAAACGATGTCCGATGAGACAACACAAGAATCAGGAGATCCTGCAACTTTTCTGAAAAAAAAATCATATTTTCAGCGGCATTTGAATGTGTAATGGCCGGGTCCTTTTCAGAGTCCCTTCAAAGAGGATTGCGTTTCTTCATGGGACGTTTTCGGTCGAGATAGCCCCGGCGAAGCGCACAGAGAGATCTACATGACGACGTTCCCAATATAGACTGCAGCAGTCTATTCTTGGGCTTGAACGTTCCAACGGCCGGGTTCCATTTCGTTCCGGCCGTGTGCTTGTTATCATTATGCATGACATCAGCGGACGTGCTGACACACGGAAGCGGCGAACCGTCACTCACAGTCACATATCGTAACGGATTTGCGGCGCGTTGCTTCGATCGAGCATGTCATTGGCCGACGGAGATCGCGCGCAGCACAGTGGCGCTATTGGTTGCAGGATATTCGGGAGGCGGGACGTGATTGGCGAGCAGGGATGTAGCGTGCGACGCGTGGGTCACGCGCGATGGAAGGCCTCGGGGCTGACCTGCTTTTTATTCTTGATTAAAATGTGACAATTTTAGCATTTTGGGCGACGGCGAATGGCAGAACATCTTTGGTGCAAGCCAGTCACATCCCATCCCTGCCTGTTTATGGCTCAGATGCGGACCATTTCGTTACGGCAGGCGTGAAACGCTTCAGGATTGACGAACGTAAGCAGCTTTCGACGTGCCCTTCTGCCTTCAAATTTACGTCATCTGTTGTGACTATGGGCGTGGGGGTCGGACAACTTTATCATTCAACACCTTTATTGGCCATGGGGCATATACAATACGATCATCAAAGCAATCCTTTTAAGACGTGCAATGCAGCAGAGCCGACTGCAAAGTGCAGTCGCAAATCAGGCGATGACGTGTTGACAGTGATAGGACGCAGACACGTTCTTGTTGTACAGCAAGCTACCTGCTCGCTGCAACGGGCTTGAGCACAGCCATGGCGATTACAGCCAGGCTGGTGTCACGCACATTGTTTTTTTTCGAAGAGATCGCTGCATATAGACAGGTGTGGTAAAACATCAAACTGTTTCTCACCGAGATTATCACTGCTTTCGGTAGCTGCTGTCGGTCAGCATCCAACACACTTTTCCGTCAGACGCAAGTGGGCTGCCTTTATGGAGGAAGCGTGCTGTAATCCACCACTCCAATGGCCAGACTCAAGGGGCGAAAACAGGGTGCGTCTTAGCAGCATTCTTGCCACGACAGGTTACTGTTCTGCGCCTCACTGTTTATCGAAGACCAAACAACTTCGACGGCGAGCCTGTGCCGTAAAGAAAAGAGACGAACGCTATAACGATCCTCCGACACCGGCCACCAGACGCGGTGATATCCTCGGGAAATAGCCACTGGCCACAGACGATAATGGTGAAGCCGTGCCCAGCTGTGTTTAACCCCATTAAGCTGAGCTGAGCTGAGCTGTGCTGGGCTGGGCCTCACTGGACCGAGCTGAGCTGGACGCGCTGTGCTGAGCTGAGCCTGGGACGAGCTGAGGTGGGATAGGCCGTCGGCAGTATGCTCCCCGGCCACGGACGGAGACGCCGGAGAGTCATTGCAGACAGCTCCTCCATCACTTACCGCTGACGTTATCGGTGATCGGAGCCCAGGTGGTTTGCTATTAAACTCAGCTGATGACATGCTGAGTCATTGGATGCTGGAGCGCTCTCACTCTCCCTCCGACGTCCAGGTGTGGTTAGCAGGTTTTGAGCTCCTCGCTAATGATCTCTTTGAAGACAGCTCTGGAATCGGTACTGTCCTCCAGCCTGATTTCGGCCTTGCTGTAACATTCCTCGGGCCCCGTTTTCCCCGCTGTTTAGTTTACGTCCGCATCCTTTGAGACAACGTCGACCCCCACTGCCGCTGTTCGGTGATTGTTTGGGTCGGACGGTTTTACAGTGTCATCGGACGTCCGACCAAGTGACGGTGATTACGGCGGCCCTGGAAATGGCTTCTGACGCCGTCTACCTGTGAGGTCCACAAATATCTGGACCGAACCGAGGCTGTATAAATTCCTCTGCGCGATCCGGACAAACGACACGCTTGTCAGCTGACTCATGGCCGGCAAAGAAGCTTACCGGCTGCCCGGCGTGAGGACCCGCCCCACCTGCCCCCTCCCTCCCATTCAATTTCCACCTGCCTTCATATCCACCTGTGCGCTATACGCCCGGGCAGCAATGTCGCGGAGCGTTTGATGCTCCGTCGACGCTGAGAGGTCTTCTATTACTTATCATTTGTGAGATATGAGCTGGACACGTGCCGAGAGAAGTGGAGACTCTCCTGTTTTCAATAGTGTTTTTGTTCTCAAGTTAGCTGTGTTTGCTGAGCTGCGATGCCGGTCCGAATCCCCGACATCCGCCGAGCGAAGTGAAGTAGCGCTTATCGCCTTGGGTGCGGTCCGGCACTGTCTGTCGACGGTCTTGTGTCGCCGCCACCTCGTGTTTTCCGTCAGTCATCTCACGCCTCCCGGCGCCGCCCGTGCCCCGCGCCGCCCGCCAGTCCGGCGGCCCCAGCGTTGTCTGCCGTCGCGCGGCACCCGGCCGATGTCGGCCCGGCCGGCTGTCGCCCCGTCACCTCGCCGCTGTCCCGGTACCGCCGGCTGGCGCCGCGCGGCGTGCCCGTGTTTTATTGGGCTGTTGCCGTGTTTTACGGTGAGACCGTGTTTTATGGGGGACAGAAAAGTGTCCCTGGCCGGGTCCCGGCGACAGCTACTGACGGACCACCCAGAAACTGGAGCTGGCCGGCGATTTAGTGGCGGCGGCCGGGCGCGCGCCGCTATCACGGCCCGGCATCGGGGGCCGACCGCTCGCGTCCCCTCTCTCACAGCCGCTCCGTCCCTTCCGCCGACATGTAAACGATGCGTCATCCGATCCGAGTATGTATTTGAACACGGTCACGCGGCTAGATTAAACACTTCATACATCATGGTAACGGCGCCTACTACAACGCACTCCGGAATAAATTAACGCGCTGGGGCGGCGCGGACGAGACATGGCACAACATGACAATCACGGCGCCCGCGCGGCTTGACGATCGCGCTGGCGGACAAATGAACATGACGACACCTGAGACAAGACGGCGGCGGTCGCGCGGCGCGCTCCGCTCACATGGCCAGGATGTCGGCGATGGAGAAGCCGGTACGCTTGCCGACGCCCGGCTCTGGCGACGAGCAGTTGCGCGGCGGCGAGGCCCAACCCAGCGAGTCGGCCGGCGACTTGGGCGGGCTGGCCGAGCGCTCGCTGCCCAGCGAGTCGCGGGGCGAGTGCACCAGCTCGTGGAAGCGCAGCGAGGAGAGCCGATCGAAGCGCTCGCCGCAGAAGCAGCGGTGCACGGCGGCGGCCGCGGCGGCGGCGGGGGAGGCGGCGGTCGTGGCGGGCCGGCCGGCCGGCGGCGTGAGACGGTTCTGCAGCGTGCGCAGCTCGGCCGCTGCCGTCGCCGTCTGCTGCGAGCAAGACGACCGGTGCACGGCCAGCGTGCGCGCCTGGCAGAAGCCCTTCTCGCAGACCTCGCACTTGAACGGCTTCTCCTTCATGTGGATGTACTTGTGGTCGCGCAGGTGGTCCTGGCGCCGGAACGCCTTGCCGCACACGTCACACGGGAACGGCCGCTCGTCCGTGTGCGTGCGCTCGTGGATCAACAGATTGTAGCTCTTGCTGAACTCGCGCTGGCAGTATTTGCAGATGTAGCGCTTCTTGGGGCGGCTGGGCTTCTGGCCCAGCAGCTCCGGCCGGAACATCGGGTGACTCAGGTAGCTGAGCAGCGACGGGTGCAGCAGCAGCTCGGGCTTGGCGGCGGCAGCCAGCAGCTGCGGCGCCAGGGTAGAAGTTGGGAAGCTGGGCCGGGTGCATGGCGAGGGCGCTGGCGGAGCGGAGCGACGTGCGGGGCGGCTGCTGCGGGCGCACGGCGACGAGTGGCGCGGCGGAGGCCGCGGCGCGCAGCGGCCGGCCGCCGCCGGACCGCCCCTCGCCGCCGATTGGCTGCCGCGCAGGGCCCGCCCACCGGCAGCGGCCGCCGAGGGGGCGCCGAGGAGCGGCTGCCCGAGCTGCCTCATCATCGGGCGCCGCGCGACCTGCTGACCCCCGCCCCACCCAGCTCTCCCGCTGTCGCCTCTCTCTCTCTCTCTCCTCTCTCTCTCTCTCTCTCTCTCTCTCTCTCTCTCTCTCTCTCTCTCTCTCTCTCTCTCTCTCTCTCTCTCTCTCTCTCTCTCTCTCTCTCTCTCTCTCTCTCTCTCTCTCTCTCTCTCTCTCTCTCTCTCTATTCCCTCTCTCTTATTCCTCTCTCCCTTGCGTCCTC